GGCATCCCCGAGACACCGTTTCTTATCGTCGTCCCCCCCGCCCCCGCCCGGCTCCCTTCCTCCCCTCCTTATAAGACTAAAGCCCTTCTATAGGATTTAGACACTTTCTCTTTCAACAGATGCTACAATGTTTTTGATCCCAGCTCCACAGCTGAAAGGTGCCGCGATCGGTTTTGCTATCTTGCTTGCTCGCTTGGGTTTTTTTTTTTTTTCTCTCTCTCTCTCTCTCTGCTAGTTTTCCGCCTCACTGATTAAGACACTAAGAAACTAAGGAATGATTTTATTTCCCAGCGTCTTTTATCCAACCCCCCCCCCACCTTTTTTCCCCCTTTCCTGGAAACAAATCCTTATACCCAGCGTCAGATGGTCTAGCTTTTAGATAATAGGGGCAACATATTCAACTCGCTTTCTTACGGATTAGGTCCAGAGAAGGTGGAACGGGACTATTGAGTTCTTTTATAAAGCTGCTTTTTCTCTTAAAGTCTCTCTTTTAAAAGAAAGCAAGATATCTTAATTGTCTGTCGTTTCTTTTTCTTTTTCTTTTCTTTTCTTTTTTTTCCCTTTTCTTTTTCAAACATATCTATCTGTCTTATCCGATCAAAACTTTGGAGTTAACAGGCACCGGGTGAGGTTTTTGAGGAGGAGAGACGAGCGGGAGGGAAGAGGAGAGATGAAAGCGAACGAAAAAGTCGTCATAACTGTTATTGGGGGGAAAAAAATGATATAGGGCGAATCTACATCGTAGTTTGAAGTCAATGGAGAAGGTCCCATTGATGTTAATGGAGTTGGAGCCTAACCTTTGCGGTCTTTAATGCCGGTTGAGCGAAGACAGCCTTCTGGAAGATGTATTTGTTGATTTCTTTTCAAGCTGCTCTAACCTTTGAGCTGAAAAGCCGCCAATTTTTCTTGTTGCTCCCAACACCCACAAAAACACACGATCTCACACACGCACGCAAGCATGCGCACACACACACACCTAGGTTTGAGGGTATTTTACTTCTTACTCTTCAGCTGTAAACCGAGCTGCCTAACTTTGTCCCCCTTTGGCCAGCTGACAAACAGACGCTGCGACACCCTCCGCTTGGATCCCCACCTGACCGAAGGGAGAATCGCCCAGCTAGCCAAGGATCTGGCCAGAGAGGTTTGGCCTTTCCTGGCGTAGCCCAGCAATAGGGAGGTCGACCTGCTGGGGTCCGAAGGGCCTCGGAAAGATCCGGCACTGCGCCGGATCCACAAGCGGGTTCAGCTAAAATTCAGCTCCTTTCCATTCCCCTTTCCCCGCTTGGCCTTCCTTTGCTTGGGTTGGGTGACAAAAGTTCCACCAAAAGTTCCCCAAACTCTTTTGCTCCTTGGGCCAAACGGAAGCTCCTAATACTGTAGTTGAACTGGGAGTTCTTTGAGGTCTCAATAAAGGAGACTATTTGTAGCTCAGGGTTGAGTTGAGGGGTCCTTGGTGCTCTCTGAGCTTGGTTGTTTAACATTACCCTTACTAGGTAACATCCTCACCGATGCATCATGGATGATGTTACCTAGTTTGGATAGTGAAACCTCTGCAAGAAAACAATCAAGCTCAGAGAGCACCGAGGACCTCTCTTTGAGGTGTCTTTGGAAGCTTAATCCAGAACAAGCCTACGCAATGTTCCCCCACCCCAAACTTTGGTTTCTCCCTTGTTTGGGAAAGCAGTTGAAGGCTCAGATCTTGCCTTCCAAACGAGGAGGGTGTCTGGAGGCTCCTCCCCTATGCCTGAAGCTTCTTCAACTGTGAGGCACATGGCGCCTTTCCCACCCAGTCTTTGCCACAAGGCAACTGGTGGTGGATCTAAGACAGGCCTGGAGACTCATCTAAAGCTATCACCCAGTTCTCTCCCAGTCCTCCCACCTGCTGAGTTGCTTGGGCACCCATGTTCCCCTGCGGGAGAAAGGAGGGAGGCCTCCCATTACCTACCTTTGATGGCCCTGTGCCATCACACAGTGGGGTCCTTTAGCCAGCCCCCAGAAGTTCTGTGGTGTGTGGAGCTAAGGAGGCCAAACATTTCGTAAAGGCTGGTCTAGAATCCCAGCAGCTTGGTTTAGACTCTAAACCAAGAGGCTGTAGGGCAACAAAGCGTCAGTTTCTTTTCACAAAAATATCAACCTAGAAGTCCTTACTCTGAAAGTGCTTTAAAAGGCAGCGATCACCTTTGGTTAATGTGTAGAAGCAGGGGCTCTTGTCTTAGACCCTTCTCTGCCAGTTGAAGCTTACTTAATCTAAGCTAAGTAGTTCTCTCTTTTCCCCCTCCTCCCCCTCTCCCGTGTTGAGTAAACAGGCTGAATGTGTGGAGCTGGTCTATTCACCAGTTTAGGGGTGTTCTTTCTTTCTTCTCCGGCTCCTATAGAAGGGGAAAAAAACCCTAAAGAGCATTGAGTAGCCCAGCCTAGGGGACAGTGATTAATGATAGTAGTGCCTAAAGGTTAACATACTTCACTGAAAAGTCTGTTGACTGGGATCCTTGTGATACAATGTGGGCCACTGCACGCCTCAAGAGAATCCTTTTGTTGGGCCGGCCTGATTGTGTCCTCAAAATTCTGCCCACGAAAGTTTGCCAACCCTCCTCCTTGCCCCAAGAGTTTAATAGTTTCCTTTACTCTGCTGGCATTGTGTCCTGGTGAAAAGCAGCCCCCCCTCGCTATTCAAGTGGTGGTGGTCATCTCAATAGATCTCCAAACATCCATATGGTGACCACTGGAGATGAATCCAACTGTTTAAATGGGGGAGAAAGTTGGGGTTTTAAAACATTTCAAAGTGTTTGAAAAGATCTCTACCAGATCCTGTCACAATTCTCTTTAGGGCTTTGAAGGTTAGACTCCATTGTTGGCTGATTATAACCGATATATTGCTCTAAAGTTGATTTCCCACAAAAATCTGTTTTCTAGGCTAGAGGAGAGAGAGAGAGAGAGAGAGAGAGAGAGAGAGAGGAAAAAAAGGCTGCTTGTTTCTTTTTCACACAACTTTCTCCCTCTCATTTTCCTTCTTCAGGACATGTATCAAAAGAAACCCTTGTTCTATTTTTCATTTAGCAACTTCAAAACCACTCCAAATTATGCTCTGAAAGGAAAGGGAGAGTTAATTTACTGACAACTTCTCTCCTTCTGCAGGAATGTCCATTTCTTTTGTAAAAAAAAAAAGGGGGGGGAGGGTGAAGCAGAAAAAAAAGGAGAGGAAGAAACCTTTCTCTCCACACACACCCCTCCCTCCATTTTCCTCAGGGTCTGCAGACACTTTGAAAGACAGCTCAACCAGGAGCATATCTTTACCTCCAGCAGCTATGTGAAAACAATAAAACTTTCTCTTGTTTAATGATAGAAATTACATTAAAAGTGGTGGAAATGCCCTAATTAAAAATGTACCACAAATGATATGCCAGGCGCTCAGCTGCAGAATAGCATATTTAGCTACTTAGCGAACTCGCTACTATTTCTTGTTAAAATTACATGTTAAAATTTTAAAAGAAATCTTACTTTTCTCTGGTGCAACACATTACAAAGAATGGACAGTCCTTTTATCTAAATATAAAATTCCATTTTCAGCAATTATAGCCTGTTCTTGGTGATGATATAATTACAGCTGTGCTCTGTAATAGGTGTCAAGGCAATGCACACTCATACAATAGTTGAATAAAACTGCAGAACAATGCAGGCACTTCTAAATTCACAACCTTTAAAATGAAATTGACTGTGCAGAATTAAAATCAAAACTAGATAAATATTTTTTAAAAAAGATTACAAGCTTGGTTTGGCTTCTTAATAGCATTTTCTGCAAACCTATCAGCATCTAATTGATTAGATAGGAATTACTGATTATAGATAATCTGAAAAAGTGAGCATCCCTATTCTAAATGTACCCATAGGTAAATACATTTAATAGAAATAATATTTTAGGAAGGCATGTTGGAAAACGTGCACTATGCTCATTTGAACAATATCTTTGATTTGTTGTGAGACGGGGCAGATTTATTCTGCTATATTTTTAAAGTGTTGTTTAGATATTTTGGAACTGAATATTTCTACTTTGGACATATTTGGTTCCCTATTGTTATATATACTGATTAATATTTTATTGCCAGCTACTTTGAACATCAGTGAATTATAGAAAGGAATAAACCCTACGTAGTTTCTGCTGCTATTCCATTTAAGGAACCCAGATTGATTTTTGCTTAGAAGTCACTGAATTGCCCTTATAAAATTTCCCATCCTGGAATTCTCTGTATTCTTCAGAATAGACAAATAATTGCAATAGATACCATAGCCTCTCCAGTCCTAACTATCTTCTGACCACCATACATGCTACAATGAGCAGAGAAGGTCCTGACATCTACAAGCTTTTTCTGCATTTCAGTATAGGGTCAATCTCATGAAAAGTTTTGGGTGTTGGATACAATACTTTCATCTTCTGCATTCAAACTGAATCAAAATGACCATGTACAAATTTGCAAGACATATTTTCAGTAAGTCATAGACTTCAAAAGTAGCATACAATATGTTTTATATTGAGTGCATATACGAATTTAAATCCAAATGTGAAATATGAGAACCAGTTTGGTGTAGTGATTAAGGCACTAGGCTAGAAGCCAGGAGACTGTATGTTCTAGAGGTGTCTTGGACATGAAGACAGCTGGATAACCTTGGACCAGTCACTTTCTCTCAGTCCTAGGAAGAAGGCAATAGAAAACTATTTCTGAAAAACTTTGCCAAGAAAATTGCAAGGACTTTGTGCAGCCAATTTCCAAGAATCAGATAGAGTTAAAGAGAAGGGAAAAAAAGTTTAAATATAGATTGAGCTACAAAAGTAGTATTATTCAGCATAGGTTATACCTCTCCAGAATGAGCAATTGGATTGCTGTATTGCCACTTTGGGATAATGAAACAGAGAGATCCTGAGACATTGCTCCAGTGGCTGTATTTGCTATGGCATATGAGTTCAGCACAAACCTTCTTAGAATGGTTCCCTCTTTCTTTTGCAGATGGCTGCCCACAACAAGAAGGAGGGGGTGAAAATACCAATTCCATCAGTTCAAATGGAGAAGATTCAGATGAGGCCCAGATGAGACTCCAGTTGAAAAGAAAGCTGCAGAGGAATCGGACGTCCTTTACCCAAGAACAAATCGAAGCACTTGAGAAAGGTGAGACTCATTTTTCATGACCAAAGGTCAGAGGAAGGGACACATAATGTGCTGTACTGCCTTTTCTCTCCTGGCATGGTATGATCAATCTGGGACAGACATGGAACAGATGTCCATTGATAAAGTCTAGGAATGTGATTTTTATGATGGCTTAGAGATGCAGTGATTATACAAGCAGCAGGGCAAGTATTTGGAACTGGAACTTCAAAAATATCCCAAAGCTATGTTGTCTTTGTCATGAGACTTTCAGAGGCAATCTTGCACCCCACTTTTTTGGATCATAAAATATACACAAAACTCAATCCACCATCCTTCAGTTCCCTTGCTCCCAATGTAGTTGATTTGGAACTCATCCGATTTGAGGTCTGAGTTATCATTTGAAATTGTCTTGAAAGTTAGCGTGAGAAAGTTACTCTAGGGCAGGGATGTCAAACTTGCATTGTCACTGGGTCATCACATGACATATCGTGACTTTTCCCCCCTTCGCTAAACAGGGTGTGGGCCTGGCCAGTGCATGATGCATCCAGCCCACGGGCCACAAGTTTGACACCCCTGCTCTAAGGGTTATCTATTAACTACTTAAAATGCACCTATTATTGGTTTCTATCTGAATACGATCTATAATTATATAAATCATTTTAATATGAATCACTTCATTAGGAAGGAATCATTCAATAATAATCTCTCACACTTTAAATCAAACCTGCATTAAAGCATTCCTCTGATGATAGTCCTCATAAAAGATTTAGAATGCAAAGTGCACTCAGAATATTCAGAAAGCTAAAAGAAAAAAAACCCTGATCTTAATGCAAATTCTATGGGTTTCTTTTCTACCAGAATTTGAGAGAACCCATTATCCTGATGTGTTTGCCAGAGAGAGACTAGCTGCCAAAATAGACCTGCCTGAAGCAAGAATACAGGTATTCAAAGACTATACAGTATTTTTCTTCAGCTCTTGTTACTTGACTATATCCTTTCTCTTTTTCTTCTCTGTGCATTCATGTTCAAGAAGGTGGTTTAGGTGATTTTCATGGTTAATAATTTAATAAATTGTTTAAAATCTGATTTTAATAGCATTAAGGGTTGTTTTGTTTGGTACTCTGTATTTTCTTTTGTTGCAATCCACGTATAGTATTGAAATAATCTGAAAATCAGGTGTACATCCATGCAATAATACATAATAAAATAAATGCAAATTCCAGTGAAGTTATCCGCATCCTTCTTAAAGCAAGTAGCGTGCATGCCCATTTTCATCTAGAATTCATCTAGACAGATGTTCTAATTTAAATGTAGTAAATATGTACCTACATTTCCTATTTGGAAAGTCCACCACACATGGATAATCTTTCATGGCCTTTGCTAAATTTTTTTGCCCCAATGAATATGGTAACGGATGAAAAATTTGGAAGTGAGTACTTCATGAAGATGGTCTTTTTATTTTCACAAATGTTTCCTCTTAGTCCTACAGCCATTACTGAGTTTTTGCTTTGTATGATGCATTTGACTTTTTCCTTCCTGAACTAATGGGAAATATATTGCATTGGCAGGTATGGTTTTCCAACAGGAGGGCAAAGTGGAGACGAGAAGAGAAACTAAGAAACCAGAGAAGACAAGCGAGCAACACCCCCAGTCACATTCCCATCAGCAGTAGTTTTAGCACAAGTGTCTACCAACCGATTCCACAACCCACAACACCGGGTAATATGCTTTAAGAAGTATATCATGCAATTACTCACCCTTTCTGGGCAATACCATGGAACGCTGTCTTGCAACCTTACCCAACATGGAGTCTTCCAAATGCACTGGCTGGGAATTAGGAGATATAGAGTCTGTCACATCTGGGAGCCACCAAGTTGGGGAATGCTGCCAAAAGTAATGCAGTCATCTAAATCAAAGTGTAACTAATACATCCATCCTCTCTATCTATCTATTCTATTATAGTTTCCTCTTTCACATCAGGTTCAATGCTGGGCAGAACAGACACCGCGCTAACAAACACATACAGTGCTTTGCCACCCATGCCTAGTTTCACAATGGCTAACAACCTGCCTATGCAAGTAAGTATAATCCACTAATATGCTCTCTGAGCTGAGTAATCACTGGGCAGAATCTCTGTCCTTTGAAGTTAGTAAGAATTCTAGACTATAAGGGAGATTTCTCCAGGGTTAAGAGGATTTTCCATATCATGCTGCTATCACCAAATGTGCAATCTACCCAGTATTTGTGGGATCTTATGCATATTATCAGTCTGATTTAACAAAATGGGAAAGCCTGGACTACTACTTAGATTCCCCCCCCACCCTCACAAATAGAAACACACACACACACACACGCACGCACATATAATAAAGAGAGAAGGAATGGGATTGATGCTTTGATGCTTACCAATCATCACGCTGATCAGAATCTCTACTTTATCTACCAATATATTGAAACATCTTTTTGTTGTGTTTTAGCTATCTTGGTTATGACAGATGTCTAAAGCTACCAATTGTTAATGTAGGCAGAAAGTAAATTGGGATCTTCTATAGTAGAAGATAGATTCTATAGTAAGTAACAATAAAAGACTCTAGAAGTTAAATTGGTTTGCCCAGATGAAGAAAATTAGGAGTAATGCTTTCATTTAAGGAAGAGAGAACTACAGTATATGTTCTCTCTTAGTATAAAAGCAAAAAGGCAACCTGCTCCTTAATTCTAAATGGATCAAATGTTTGATACTATTCTTCCTACTATTTTTATCTGATCCGTTGGTGATAGAAACACTGTATTGCTCACATGTTCAAAGTCGGCTTATCTCATAAGTCCCATATGGACCAAGGCCGCAATCCATAAATTGCTTGTTTCGGGAATCTTGCCTTTCTTTCAGCAAAGTGCTTTAAACTCAGTGAGTAGATGTGTAAGATGATAGAAATTTTCCTAGGAAAGGTGAAATTCAGCAACTTCTGTGGCCCCTCAGACCTCCTACAGCAACTCTGAGTTGCAACCTAGAAGTCAAACATCTAAAACTTTCAGGCGAAGATGTAGATTGCTTCTTCTGGTTGATTTATCTACATTATCTGAGCCAAAACATTGGCACTACTGGTGTTGATACAATGTGGTTCAGGTTCATTGCTCAGCATGGAGCTCACATTTTGTGGAAATAAATGAAATAAGAACAAGAACAAGAATAAGTGTAAGTGTGAGCTGGTAAATAACGATCATTGCACCTCCCTTTGCTACTCTTATGAACCATAGCTATGGTCAGGTTGTACTGCAGTATAGGATTTCCAAACCCAGATTTGCTTTAAGTCAAATAAGTTGAACAAGTTGCCAATGGCTAGCTGCTTTCAATTTCTCTGGATTGCAGTGACTTCACCATTCCAAATCATCCTGAAATGGGCCTTCTGTTCCTGTGGGAATCATAGTATGATTGTAGGGCTATTTATGGCCAGCCCTAATAGTAGAGTTGTTACTTCTTGATTATTTATTCATTAATTAGATGTATCTGCCAATTTGTCTTGAAGCAGCTTACTTAGCATTCCTTTGTCTAGTTATTCCCTGCAAGAACAACCTTGTGAAGTAGTTTAGGAGATTGTGTAAAGCCCAGAGTCACCCACTGAGTTTCCATGATTGAGAATGGACTTGAACTTGGGTCTTCACGGTCCTAGTCCAACACTTTAACCATGATACCACACTGGCTGAGATTACATATACTTTGGGTATGTATTTCTTCTAAGCATTAAAATGTTCCTTCTTTTAAAAATGTGCTTAGAATTTTAGTGCTATTATTATGGTGTTGCAGAGTAGACAACACAGGCAGTTATTAATCCAAATTAATTTAATCTGAGAAAAAAAATCAAGATTAATATCAATGATATTTGAAATCATATTCTTATAATCCCAATTCTATAGGCTATGAGACCCTTGAAAGATATATTTTCTAGGCTCTGATCTCAAACAGGCAACCTTGCTTAAGCAACAGGAATGTGAAGCTAAAGAGTGCTTTGTTGACTTCCAAGAAGCCATAAGAATTTTTCTCAGCCTCCATGCTATGCATCTTTTACTAGAAAATTAGTAGACTTGTCTCATGTCCAAAACATGCAGTCCAGTATAGATTGATACATGTACTTTGTCTTCATTGAACTGTGATCAGTGATACTGATCCAAAGAAAAGAAATTTCCACTGAATGTAAGTCAAGGGCCATTAAGGACACCTTGATAACATTTGGAACATTTGGAATTGATAATATTTGGAATTGTTTTTTGAGTGATGCTGATGGGTTGTATGAATATTTGATACTTTATTTGAACCTACATTGAATGGTGTAATGGAATGCCTGTTGTAATGCAATGGCTTGCTATGAATTGCCTGATTGGTTTTGGTAATAGTTTGTTTGTTTGTTTGTTTGTTTGTTTGTTTGTTTGTTTGTTTATTTATTTATTTATTTATTTATTTATTTATTTATTTATTTATTTATTTATTTATTTATTTATTTATTTATTATTTATTTATTTATTTATTGGTTCGATATATATGCCGCCCTTCTCCGGACACTCAGGGCGGCTTACAATGCGTTAAGCAATAGCCTTCATACTTTTGTATATATCTGCTTAGTAGGGCTTTTGCCCCCCCAAGCAGTGTTCTTTTTTATACAAAGTCAGCTTATTGCCCCCACAATCTGGATCCTCATTTTACCTACCTCGAAAGGATGGAAGGCTGAGTCAACCTTCAATGAGTTCAATGTAATCCCATTTTTCTCTAGTGAGGACAGTAAATTCAGGATCAAGGTTGTTTTGCTAGCATTAGACACTTGGTTTGGGACTGCATTCAGATTCCTGGAAATGCTTGAATGGTACCTACCCTATCCATTCAACCACATTTCTTTCAAATATCAAACTGATTACAAAATTGTAGAAGAAACCAAAGTAGCACAGAAATTTCAGCAATCATTGAAAGAGAAGTGTAACGCATACTCAATTTTTTGTTTTATTTTGTTTTATTTATTTGTTTAAATAAATTTAAATTTATTTAAATTTATTAAATAAAATAAATTTTATTTAATTTATAAAACAAATTATTATTATTATTATTTTTAAAACAGTAAACTAAGGATGTCCTAAGCATAGAAGAGGGTTGAAGCACAATTTTACTTCTTAAGAATTCCCCTTCTCCAAATTGGTTTCTGGTCCAGTCCAACTTCTATTCTAATTTTTAGTTTGTCTTTACATTCAGCCACTAAAACGTGCACCCTAGTATATTATAGTAGGCAGATCCTGAGAAGAGCTTCCCAACTCTTACACCAAACAGTGTAGCCTGGGAAATGGAAGAAAGGTTTTGATTAAATCACCCAGAGATGATTTAAAGGCAAAAAGTTTCAACTGGGTAATATCTGTTTAAAAATGTATCTAACTAGAAAAACTCATTAGTATAGAGCTGCTGTGGAGAAAGAGCTTATTAACGTGCTAGCAGACTTACACCTTGCTGATGAGACACCATGGCTATTGGCACCCTAGAAATACCCAAGGGGAAGCAGAGCATGTGAACAGCACCTGCAGTTCTAAATAGCTGTGTTGAAATGAATGTTGCTGCTAACCCTCATGCTTGTAAGCATGCAGATTACTACTCAGGAAAAGAACACATTTCTAGGCCGAAGCATCGTCGCCCTCTTAGGAAGATAGCGAGTTATGGATACTCAATGGATGAGTTTGAACAACTGTCTTATAGAATGCCTTAAAAAGTCTAGCATTAAAAAAAATCCCTACATTTGCAAACCTCAGAAGTTAGAACCTAAGTCCACGAATACAAAAAACTATTTAGGGATCTTTTAAATATTTCACCCAACTTCCAATTGTTGAAGATAGCTCTACCAATGAAGAAAAGGTAGTGGGACAAATTATTGGAATTATATATGATTATATTTGGAATTATATATGATTATACTTGGAAAATTTTTCATGCTATATATGCTTCTGTAATAACCAATAACCAATATACACATGTGCGTGTGCAGACGCACACACACAGAGTATACACACACACGCACACACACATACATATATACTGTATACATGCACACACATAGACACAGATCAATTTAAATTTACTTAATACTAAAATTTGTTTCAGGGGCAATATGCATAGCATTATGTCACAAAATGAAATACTTTACACTTAAAGTTCGGTCTTTTTTGTAATCAGGTGCAGGTAAATATATCAGAGTTTCAATTTTCATAAATCCCAGCTTTATGCTTACTAGAAGTTATAGGAAGTGAAATGTAGCATATATGGAAGAAAAGGCACCAATTGAAAAGTGATGCCAGTGTTACTGATACAGCTTTCATGCCTATCCAGATGACTGATAAGATTCTATATATGGCAGTGTCTTTCAAATGGAAGGCTGAGGCATGGGAGATTTGGATAAAAAATCTTTTGCACTTTTGAGTGAAATGAAAATTGCACAAATGGACTCCTCTTAGCTCTTTGGGCATTTCTCCTCTTTTGTCACCTTTCCCCCCAGGTTTCTACATGCTCCAGAATCTAATCTAAATGAGTTGAGAAATACATTCCTTCCTTTTGGACTGAAGGAAGACAAGGCTTGCAAACTGGAAATATAGATGGCCTGTTATTAATATAGAGTAGATGTTTTGGATAGACGCTTAGAACAATCATGAAAGATCCAGATTTTCTCCTAAATTCCAATTCAGTTACAGTTCTGATTGGACAGGCTTCACTGTTAGTTCCTTAGCTTGCAAATGTTCTGAAAACTTTCACTTGTATCATTCTGTTTATGAAAATAGAGGTGGAGGGGACTTTATCCGTACGTAAGAAAGCAAGTGTCTAAAATTTAAATGAAAGGATGCCACGGGTCTGTTTCCATGATGTGTTTAATTGGGCAGAGGCTGGGCTGTGCCATCATCATAAGCTTGTCAACTAACCTGGAAAATTAACCTAGAAAGATTTAGGATGAACTAATCTCCCCTCTCCCAGTCAATCATTCCATGAAAACAGGGTTTGAAAGGGTTAACAGAGAAGTAACCCTTTGTCTCTGAAACAGACACAAAGCTGCAGAAGGGCCTTGCAGAAATGCAGCTTTTCTAGGCATTGTGTCACTGTTTCCTTTCTACTTTTCACCCTCTGAGACCATCACAAATGGGGTAGGGCTGGCGGTGAATGGAAAAAAGGGGTCAGCTTGGGAAAGCCCTCCCTCTGACTCCATCCACAGTGGCACTGAACCTAATTAGGCCGTCAATGTTTCCCCCTCCCATTATTTTTTTTTCGAATGGGGGTGGGGGGAAACGAACTCTAAGCCTGCTTTATGGTGAGTGGGAGGACTTAAAAATGGCCTTTACGTGGCTGCCTTATTGATGCATGTCAGTGTCTGCTGGCACATCGGGGAGAGTTTGTTGCCCTGGGGAGAAGTTGAGTCAGTTGTGTTGGCAAACAGAGCCAACCTCTCTGTATGCTAGAAAATGCAGCTGGACACCAGTCTTCCCTGTTGCAACATAAAGCTCATCCAACATAGTGGAACAAATCAGTAAATATGAACATTGCACGAGTTTGTGGAGATTATATTTGTGCCATCTGTTAAAAAAAAAAAAGAAGAAGGCAACATAAAATGATGTTAAAAGTAATGAACATGATATTGGTCTTTTTCCCCCCACAGCCCCCAGTACCCAGCCAGACTTCCTCTTATTCTTGCATGTTGCCCACAAGTCCATCAGTAAATGGGAGGAGCTATGATACATACACCCCTCCTCATATGCAGACACATATGAACAGCCAGCCAATGGGCACCTCTGGAACCACTTCAACAGGTGAGCAACCATTGGTATCTTCATCAGAGATATTTTATGAGGAGTGCTTACCCACGAATTGGAATTTTGATTCCTTTGGGCAAAACTTAACGACTTGTTATCAACTCTTAAACAAAAGGAGAGGAAGTAACATATAAGTGTTTAAGAGTCTAATTAGATAGCATTGGAAATTATGAATAAAATAGCCTAACGAAAAAGAAAGCCCTATTTTGTTAGAAATTCACTGTTAATGTAAATCATTTATACATTAATTCAAATGCTGCAGTTCAGCACTTCTTTAACCATGTAGAATAATTGATAGGTTTTGTGTTTCTCTACTAATTTGGTGAAAGGAGGGTATCTCAATATGCACAAAGGTGCAATCTAAGTTTATAATCATATATAACATAATGTACAGTAATCATAAATTACTCAGATAAACGTGCGGCAATATTTAATTCACTTTTGTCTCGATAGTGGAGAAGGAGATAAATATTAAGGAATTCAGGAAGATAAAGCTCAGTTCAGTTGAGGAACAGATGCTGCTGTATTCTTGATCTTAGACAAAAGGCCATTGTAATGGAATTTTGTAGACCCATCCTTTTATTGTTCTGACAAATAATCAAATACATTTTGTCTATTTAAATAGTTGAAGTTTCAAAGATCCATTAGTCAATGGGAGACTTATAACTTAATTATTATACACTAAGCTCCTAAGCTGTGCTTGTGTTGTAGCCCAAATAAACAATAAACACAATTCATATGCTATATATTAGCATATCATTATGCGGATTTTGATGATTCACATTCCTTGTTGTATGATGTTTCTCTCTTTTATTTATTCAATTGTTAGCCTCTTTTTAAAGGAATAATATAAAGAAAAAATGTAATTTGCACATATTTATCTATTACAGAATTAAATTGCCCTGAATGCAACGTTACGTTACCTTACTTCTCCCAATCCTTGCACCATCCTGCATATCTGTTGTACTGCTGGATATCTTTCAACCAATAGATGGACATAATTATATTATTATAATCATCATTATATGAACCATTGGAAAGGATGGTTGGGAAGTGAGAGAAACATATATGATCTGGGCACTTATATACATACACAGATAGAACCTCTGCCAGGATTCAATGCCAAAATTAAATCACTTGTTATTTCACAAAGATATCTGTGCATGCATAGAAGTTCTTGAAGTGATCACACTGAGCATATGAGAATGCTCAGTACCGTAACACTTTAAGTTGCAGTTCTTATTCACTGGTTTCCCAAAGTGCCCCTTGTCATAGGGACAAGTCTGTCTATCTGACTGTCTGTATCTTTCATCTATCTGCCTCTCTCCCCCAACTCTCTCTCATCTATCTCTCATCTGTCTGTCTGTCTGTCTGTCTGTCTGTCTGTCTGTCTCTCTCTCTCTCTCTCTCTCTCTATCTATCTATCTATCTATCTATCTATCTATCTATCATTTAATCAGTTATTCAGCAATTGATCTGTAAATATTGCTTAACGCATTGTAAGCCGCCCTGAGTCTCCAGAGAAGGGCGGCATATCAATCAAATTAAAATAATAATAATAATATGCACCCAAACTCATTTTCTCCCTTCTTCAAGGCCTAATTTCTCCTGGAGTGTCAGTTCCTGTTCAAGTTCCTGGCAGTGAACCTGATATGTCTCAGTACTGGCCAAGGTTACAGTAAATCGTGGGCTGATTTTGCAAATGGCTATATGGACATCAGTTGGAGGTTAATCTGTATTTCTAAAAGAAGAATGGCTTTCCACATACTTCTGTACTACAACTGCATCCTATGATGTAACACACGAGGAAAGACTTTAACATGGACCTTTGTATACTGAAGGAATTATATCAGTTGGAACAAATCTTCATTTTGGTATCCAAACTTTTATTCATTTTGGTGTATTATTTGTAAATGGGCATTTATATGTTATAATGAAAGAACAATGTAGACTGAATGGATGTTTGCTTTTGTGTTGGTCATGAATTTTTTTTTTTAAAGGAAGCCATGATCAACAACCTTTGCCATGAATTAAGAGTTTTATCAAACTGTATCGAATACTTCTACCAATTTGTTCATAGATTCCAGACTATGCTCCAAGTCTATATTATTTCACTGCATATAATTCAACCGGGAACAATTCAGAGTATATTTCTGTAAGGAAAATATCTGTTGCAATTTCCAAAGGTTATAAACAGATGATGCTTATTTGCAAACATAGGGTTAACTTCAAAGAAGAAAAGTTTGATAGGAAAAGGGTAGATTGTGTCTCCGATATAATCCAATTTGTTTTATGTCAAAATGTAAGTATTTGTCTTCCCTAGAAATCTCCCAGAATGATTTCTATAATAAAGTTAATTTCATTTATATTCAACAAGAATATTCTATAGATGTTTTACACACATTTTCATGCATCAAACATTTCTTTTTTGGTCAGCAAAAGTTAATTGTTCTTAGCTATAGTTGTACTACTGTTCACAGTCCAATCATTTTGTGCATCTAGAATTCATTCCTAATCAATTAAAAGTGCTTGCAAGAGTTTTAAACTTAAGTGTTTTGAAGTTGTTCACAACGACATATCAAAATTAACCATTGTTGATTGTAAAAACCATGCCAAAGCCTTTGTATTTCCTTTATTATACTATTTTATTTTTAACCTAATAGTGTGGTGTGGCAAATTTTGTTCCTTGTTAGGGTTTAACTACTTTTTTTTACACACACAAGTCTTTTTCCAGTTGAAAATGAACATTCAAAAGTAATTTTTATAGATTTTATAACTTATTTTGGAATCTCAGTTGGAAAGTTAAGAGTTTGGTAGAACATCAGACTTACGTATGAAAGCTTTTTTTAATAATGATGATGATGATGATGATGATGATGATGATGATGATAATAATAATAATAATAATAATAATAATAATAATAATAATAATAATAATAATTCAGCTGCAATGAAATATTATTTAAAGAAATATTTAATAAGGAGAAAACAGCTTACTTTTAAATAAGAGTTACATTTTAAATTATGTTGGATGAATTTGGATTTAGAGAAAAGACGAACATTTTCTACTTATTTCAGTTAAGCTGCAACACTGAAAATACTTATTTTCAAATAAATCTAGTTTAAAGCTAATGGAATTAAACTGGAATATCTGATTGGAAGATAACTTTTTAGGGTTTTGTTTTTTAAATTATTGAATGGGTATGTTTATTACAAAAGTAAAATTCTCTAAGGAAATGAATTCCTACATGTATTCACAAAGCACACCTTCTTAACATAATTTTCTCATGAATTTATAATCTGGATAATGTTTTAGTGCCCATTGCACATGTATGCGTAAGGGTGAAAAGGTGCATTATCAAGAAACAATCAGAGAAAAGAAATAAGGACACAACAACAATGTCGATTGTGACTGGTCAGTGAAAATGAAAAGCTTTTAGTCTTTGGCAGTTTGAATATAAACATTCCTACATCTATGAAGGAAGTTCATTGTGATCCAGCTGTTAATTTACAACATTGCATGAAAGAAGAGATCTGATGATGTGTAAAAAATTATTCCCGGGAAGCCTGCAACTTAAGGGAAACATCTCAAGCAATTCTTTTAAAAGATAGGGGAGATTCATTCTCTCTTTCTCCTCCATAATGCAATGTCTGAATCAAAGTGATTATTCTATAATTTAGAAAAAAAATGTAGTTACCCTAAAACAGATTTTAGTTTATGAAAGCATCCAAAGGGACAAACTGCTTCCAGGGTAAATGTAAGAGGATGTAGCACAGCTTTAATTACAGCACACAGTCTCCACATGCACTGAAATGATGGTGAATTTTAATGTATATATTTTTTAGAAAACTTTGTGAAAAACACAGTTTAGGATCTGAGTTAAGAAAAGGTGTATACTCTGATTAAAACTCAAAAGGCTTTTTTTCTGACAAGTTATTTTAATGCTATTTATACCAAGAGGATATTTCATGTACAGAATAATATTGATGACTATGATTGATTAGACAGCTAATACTGTGCAAAACATAGCAATTCAAACAAATGCCAACAAATTTGAAGAGAAGTCTTTCTTAAACTGTGTTTCCATGTATTTATATATACCTGGGAATTCCCTTCTGGAACTTGGTTGGATTTAATTCTGTGAGAATGAGTATAGATGTATTGCTAGTCTTCAAGAAAGTAATACTAACTCTTTTAATGTCCAAAAGCCATCCCAAAGGAAATGTTCTTGGGTCTATGAATGAGAATGGGCATATTCTATCATTAACATCATTTTATGGTACATAGAAACAAACAGGGCCTCTTGAATATTTTGTCTAATCAAGAAGGGTTTTTTTTCCCCTGAATTATCAAAAGAAGAAGAAGAAGAAGAAGAAGAAGAAGAAGAAGAAGAAGAAGAAGAAGAAGAAGAAGAAGAAGAAGAAGAAGAAGAAGAAGAAGAAGAAGAAGAAGAAATTGTCTTCTTTTTGGTGTTAGCAACATGGAGCCAAATCCTGTCCTAGGGCATATCACAAGATCACACAGTTTTATTCCAGATTAATTAATTTTACTGCCCTCCTCTGCTTCTGTCTTTTGCATCACCTAAAACAGAATTATAATAATCAGTATGCTATATCTGAACAGGCAATGAATATGTAAAAAACAGTTTTTAACCATCTTGATTATAGGTTATTACGATGTGTTAAAGGGTAAAATGTGTTAAGCGATCTTAAAGATGTACCTTCAGAGTTATTTTACAGATAATTTTAGACAGCTCCTGTGGAACAGCATCTTGACTGTCCTTAGCAGTCTACTCAATATTGTTTTTCATTGAAAGGGTCATGAAAAATATTTAAAGAGCTTGTACTTCTCCTTGTCTTTTTCTGTCTTTCAGTTTCTTTATGTTTGATTAGACAGCTGCTACACCTGAATCACTTATTGTTCCAGGGTGAATCAAATGCCACAACAGTTTAATTGATCTTTGAGTAGTTCTTGGTTCTTTTGCCAGAGGCCTCATTCCAAAAGCAGTCAAAAACTGTCATGTGAAAGACTGGCTATGGGATTGATGAAGAGCAAAGGAGACTTTATCTTGTATGGACATCAACTGGCTGGGGAATTATGGGCACTGAAGTCCACACATCATAAAGTCACCAAGGTTGAGAAACACTGCATTAGAGAATCAGAGTTATGTACAGCTTCGTGCTGGAAGAATCTTGTCTAGACAAGACAAAACAAGGATCTCTAACTGAGAGGGAATGGTAGAGAGAAAGAATGTAGCATAATAAATAGCGTGAATTTCCATTCCAATTACTTTACTGTTTACTTTTTCAAGGCCATGCTAGATTATAAAATAAAATAAGCACATCATGTGTACTGAGCAAGTTCCAGTAGTTTAAAATCCAGGTGGGATGCATTGCTGGATCTGATGGATTTACTTACCAAGTTTCATATGCTAATAAATGGTTGCTAAAAGAGAGTTGTATTATGAGTATGACAGGCAGATACTCTTTAGAAGACCATTTTTAAATAGATATTTGCAAATTAACATTACAAAGCATTTCCCCCCCTCCCATTAAACCTTTTCTGTTGTAGTTCTGAAAAATAGCAATGTGCATTTCCAGTTTATGTGTTCTTAACCTAATGATGATTCTGATAAAAATAAATAATTCCAGATACATTATGCTTTAGGTACACTACCAGGAGGTTTTTTGTTCATCCTAAAAAATCTTTATTACGAATGATAAAATCTTGATAATCCCAGCAAGCCTTACTAGAATATTTATTAATTTTTATATGCATAGAGTTGTAAGATCTTCACGATTTCTCTCACTTATTCATCTAATTCTTTAGAATGAATTGTAAAAGAATTTATCCTTATTTGTTTGATCTTTCTCAAAATCAAATCATAGTTGCAGTTCTGCTTTGCATAGCCTAGTTCCAAGTCAATGATACTTGACCTACTCATATTCTTGACCAGGCAATTTCGTGTACATTTTTGCATAAACTTTTTTTTTTTTTGCAATGTAATTAAAGGGCAATTCATCTGATGACCTTATTATTTCAATACATTCATGAGGCTGGATTCAGAAACTGTCTCTGAATGGAAGGACTCTTTCTTGCACAATGGAACAGATATAGTGATCATTTGCCCTGGACCTCCCATGTCACAGTCTGTTATGACCTTCAGATAGGAGAGCTCTGCAAAGCAATGGGGAAAGTGCCTCTAAGTGTGGCAATGAAAAAGGGACCTCAAAAACAGTGTCTCTGCCCCCCGGACCTCCCCGCATTTCTTGCAGATGAGTCTGTTCATGAAATGTTACACTAGGAGACAACGAGTTGAAACCATCTCATTTAAATCAGTAGGAATTGGGAAAGAATGCATCTTTAAAAAACAAAATTGCTAAAGGAGAAAATGTCAAAATAGGCAAAGGGGCATCCACAATGTCCCACCTTTTAGTAAATGCACAACATTGCTTGCAAATATAAAAGGGCTTTTTTAGTATGATTCCAAGATGGATACCTAAACTATTTTGACCCTCCCCATGGGCCCCACTGATATAATGTTACTAAAAACATATTTTCATACCATAAACATGGTGATTCTTTAATGTTATTTGAATGCACTAAAATGTTTGAAAATATCACTTGAAAATGTCACTTAAAATCAAGGAGGTTTCAATTATCCTGAAATGTTGAATTTCTCCCAAATAATCTGAAAACGAGAGTATATCCAACTCATAAACCATTTGAACATATAAACGTGGGATAGGATTTGTATACTTATTTTACCAGTATGATTACAAATTCTTTGCAAATAATAACATTATTTTAGGACATCCTGTACTGATTTCAGGTGCAAGGTGAACAAATGCTCTTAACTTTAAATTTAAAGTTGTAGAACTACATTTTATTTTAATACACTATTAAAATGTTTAATACACAATTATAAATGTTATCTAATGAAGAAGATCAAGCCCAAATACAGCTTTCTTGTATATGTTTTGCAGTATTCATCAGCATAGTAAGAAGCAAATAAATATACAGACAGTAGTAGCTGGTTTTCAGATTCTAGCAGGACTGTTGTCCAGCAATGACTTTTGACACTTTCAGGGAATTAAATTAGCCACCAATAACATGGTGTGATTGGAAAAGGACAGATCAATTAAAATAGAACAACATACATCATGTATGTCCATCATGACTACCAAGATGCCTGAGATTGATTTGCCCTTTTCCAATCACACTGTGTGATCTAATTTTCTCAGCGCAACACCTGCAGGGGTTTGTGTTAATTTGGGGATAAGCTCTTTTTACAGGGTGATGTTATGACAGACGCTTAACACTGTCTTCCTTTTGTTCTTGTTTGCTTTTGTGCAGCAGGCTAACAAGAGTGGTTCAGCTTTCACCTAAGAATGCCACACATTCTGTTCCATTTATTTGTTTTGATTGGAAAGGCAGAAGCATCTCTTCCTGTTATTTTCTTAAAGGAAAATGTTGCTTTTCTGCAAGCATTGTGGGGACTGAAACAGATACTCCTCAACAGAACCTGCAATCAGAATCTCTCTGAAAAAGTAGGCCTTTGGACAGGGGTGCATTTTCTAGAAGGGTATATATGATATTTTAAACAAAAGCATGTAGTCAGAAGGAATGCCTTAGATTTTGCTTCATTACTGTGCTAGA